ACCTCTCACATCCTAGCAGAGCAAGTAATTTTCCCTCTTTGGTAAAGGGGAGAGGAAGAGCAGCAGCACAACCCCTCAATTCCTTCTAACTTGGGAGGAAAGGAACAACCTGTCCCCTATCTCCAAAAATCTGGATCAGATCAGTGACCGCGATGAGATACCCTATTGCACCAAGACACCCACATCTAGAGCAGGTAAGGAGCTAAGACACACTATCCTTTCCAAGTTTTTCCTACTGTCTCCTTAAGGTAGTTCCTCCACAACAACATTCATAAACCCCTAACCTACCTATGAATTATATAAAGGATCCAAGCACCTGGTGCAAGATGACTATTCCACTAGGCAGCCAGGCACCTGTAAACTAAGCACTGCAGTACTAGCATCTTGCAGCATGCAAGCCCTTGTTTTTTAGACTGAGCCTTAGAGCTTTCTGACCTTTCTTCATTGATTACATTTGAACCTGGTGAGCAAGTCTTCTGCTCAACAGACCCACCAGAAATCGCAAACCAAATCTCTTCCTATGCTCTAGCTCTTGGTAAGTCACGTAATGCAATCCCTTCCCAGCGGTTGCACGCACAGACCAATAGCAACCCATTTCCTCCTCCCATCTTCAGAGTGAAAATGTTACATCAGGCATGGATCTTGACGTCCTGTTGTCCTGGAACCAGTGAATCAGAAAGTTCCTTCCTCACAATTGTATTCTTTGGAGGTGGAAAATAATTAACTTCCCCACCCCCTCCTCCTTCCTACTGCCACTATCAAAGTTAGAAATTCACTTGACTCTGTCTGGGGAAAAAAAAAACCAACCAGCCATCATAATTCAGCGCCAGAGAAAGTTTTGTTGATCAAAGCATAGCCTTGTCTTCCCAAGGACACTGCCTCACTACGTCACATCATCCAGTCCAGCAACACAGCAGGTATTTTATTTTTTGTTTTTAAAGTTCCTTTCAAGAAGTTAATGAGTCAATAATGGAAGTTGAACTTGATAGGTTACCAAAAGAAGTGACAACAAAAAAAAATAAAACTAAAAAAAATCAATTATCACGGAATTCATTGTTTGAAATGTATTTCCCTGGCAAAACACAACCTAATAATAGTAAGGGCACAACAAGTTTCAGGGACTGTATACAAAAGCCATCTATTGTGCACTTAACCAGGACATTTAGACTTAAAAGTGCTCCAGCTTTTCCACACTCGTGTGTAACACCAAGCGTCTGTATGAGAAACTAGGAGAGAGATTTTGCACTTCCTGTTAGGTAAGGACAAAATTCCTGTTCCAGGTTATTGCCCTCCAAAAATGGGGTTTGGGAAGGAGGGAAAACACCAATACCCTCATTACCAACATCCTGTCCATTCGTCCTCGGGGCAAAAAGGTCTTCTGCTTCAGCCAAGAGGCTGATTAACTAATGACTAGTACTTTCAAATTTGTAGGAAGGCTAACTAGTTACTGATACTATATTTTTAAAGGAACCATAGTAAGCCCCTAGCACATCAGAAAAGAAGAAAGCGGGGAGGAAGTCACTATACCAAGATACATAAATGACTTCAAGAAATCTTGAAGGACTAAAAATCCTAACCTTAGAAAGAAAAATTGTGCCTAATTGCACCTATATTTAAAAGTGAAAGTATGATATCAATCATTTACTCAAAAAACAGCCTCTCTCTTGCTCCCATGATAAAAAAGAGGGGGGAAAAACCACAACGAAAACACATCCCCCCAAAATCTAAAATTTCAGTCTGCATTAATTGCGCAGAATTGGTAAGTAACAATCCTACAACCCTTTTGAGTACACATCATACGGATTCAACTGTACAAAGAAAAGTTGCGGTTCAGTATGCACAGCACCACTCTAGCTAAAGGAAAATCTAAAAGGCTCAAATGTGCACACACCAGAAGAACATGGATAACCTAGACTAAATCCTGAAAAAAGAGGAAAAAAAAATCCTCTACATCTTTTCCTCAATAATTATGCAGTATAGAGGGAAAAAAAAGTATTTGAAACTGAAGGAATGTGAAGCAGGAAAAAAACTGTGACCACTGTTAACTAATATTATAAATACAGAGGACAATGGTCCTGCTTCAAAAATCATTTGGAAAAGGGCAATTTTGTGCAGTCTTACTACTGTGTGCACACAAGAACATAAAGGAGGTTTTTCTGGAAAGCAGGAGGGCTGAATGAAAATGTTAATTATAACATGTTGTAATAAGGATACCCCCAAGATCAGCCCTATCTTTTTTGCTACAGTGTAGTCCCTAGGCATATGGCTAACTACTCCTTGATCATTATCCTGGCTAAAACTGAAGCTACTGAAGTTTAGGAGACTCATATCTAACAGAATTTCTTTCATCTCTAATAATTGCTAAACTAGCATAATTACTCATACTTGAGGTGAAATAGAACCCAAGTTGTCTAAAATTAAAGTTAAAACAAAAGCAAACCTCACCACCTCTTTCGTTTTTTGCACATTCATCTTTTGTCAGAATCCTATGCCAAGCACTGCATTATGATTTAGAAGTATTTAAAAGCTTCTCTTGTGCTATCTGACTTTTGTAAAGAGAGCGACTGAAAAACTTAATGCTTTGTAGTAACACACCGCAAAATACATTTGAAAACAGACATGTACATTTTCACAGCACCAAATAAAACAGGCCCAATTCTTCAGAGACCTGTATGTTGTCCCTTCAGGGAAAAATATACATATATACGTATATATATAGCCACGGTTCTGATTTAAGTGAAATAGTGCATTTTTCCCACCCCCAGCCAGGACCAAGTTTGAGCTCAGGTAGCCCTACAGGAACCAATGGAAACCGTAAAACACAGCTGGGAAAAGATGCTAAGAGGTCTGTCTTAAGGTATCAGCATTTATACTATATTTTAATCAATCTAAAAAAACAACTCCAAACATCTTATTTTCAGTGTTTTACACAGAAAAAAACACCGAATCCATACGGTCTACATAGAATGTTAACAGTTCTTCCAGATCCTTTCCTCGTGTACAATTATTCAAAGGGAAGATTTTTTTTTTCCCCAAAATGCACGACTTTCAAAATCCTGAATCGTGTTTCAGAACAAAGAAGTAAGAGCTATTAAACCAGTTGTAAATTCGACTGAATGAATTACAGAGCAACATAAAGCCTTTCAAGACATCTTAGATCATGGCGGATAATGTTATCCTACACATGTGAGATAAGTGCCTCCATACTGACAGCTTCCCTTGTTACACAAGTTAACAGCAACTCGGGAAAACAAAATCAAACCAAACCAAACATGCAGTATTTCTGAGCCTCTTAATATTATCTTTGCCCCAAGATTTCACCTTTATGGAAACTAGCAGTACAACCAGTAGCTGTTTAGATGCAGCTGTTTAGATGTTCGCTCCTAACAGTACCTGCTCCTAAGAAGTAGATGGCGATGATCAACATAAATCACGCTAGCCCCAAAAATGACCAGGTAGCATTGCTGTACTCCTACAGCTAATCAAGACCATCAATACCACTGTGCATTGCCAAAGTCAATGAAAATTACTAAACGTTAGGGATGTTTTTGTTGTTACTGATTTTTTTAATATATAAAGGAGCTGGGGCATGCTTTGGCAAGTCAAAAAAAGAACATTATAAATAGCCTGCATTATAAAAAGATGCTAATCTTAAATCCTCTTTGTAATTTGTTTTTTCATGTACTCTTTTATGTTCGATATCTTAATTTTTGCCCTTTTTTGGATGGCCAAATAGAAGCCAGCAATCCACTCATGCATCAAACAGATGTTTTTGCTTTTCAGGCCAAATGGAATCTTACGAATTTTTTGTTCCCTCCCTGTAAAATGATGATGCCAAAATAACACAGTTCCTGAAAACGGCCCGTTCAGGAAAAGTTCTTTGGACTGGTAATACTGAAACTTTAAGTCAAGTTCAGAGAAATCATGCCAATACTAATTGCTGTTTTTGTTTATGCTGCATTGATTATACTCTAATCAGCAGACAATCTAATGACTTTCGAGTCTAGTCCATGCAATTTAGAAGCCGGGGAGGGTTGGGGCTGAGAATAAACATTCAAATAGTTGACAGATACACAGAAACGTAAAGGCTACTGTTTGAAGGGGATCCGAATGTCAAATTCTCTCTGAACTATTGCTGCTATTAAGTACAATTTTTGTTTTAATCCATTACTGTTCCACCTTCCTACACCACACCACCTGCGCCTCTGTACAAGAAACATCCTTTTGCTTCAAATTTATGATGAGAAAACAAGTCACATTAAAACACAGGTACATTTACTCAGTCCACCAACACTGTGCATGAATTGAGCTGCAGTTGCAAATTCAGACAGGATGGAGAGAGTACCTAGGTTTCTTCAAAAACAGGGAACAACTTTAAGAGACGCTCCGGGCTCGCCGAAATATTTCGAGATGCAAGCCCTCCTTAAGCAGAACATAGATATGTAAAATACAGCAGAAAAATTTTTCCTTCTCATCTTTCTAGGAATTCAGTAATTCTATTTCTGCAGACAAATGTGGGATACAAAATTACAATGAGTAAAAATTTACTTTGAACTAATAACAAAATATTTTTATATTATTTTCAAAAAGAAATCGCTTTCAGAGATCAGCGCTTCTATTAAATGCATGGGGCTGTTCTAGTTTCCTTGTGATGGCTTATCTGACACCTACAATTTCAGTGATTTTTCACGGGTGACTTCAGCATAATGAATATTACCTGACTTTAGCTTAGAGAAACCTGGGTTTAATGTTTAGTAGGACTACATTTTCATTCAGGTTTGTATAAAGAACACCTGGTTTTCTTTGCAAGCAACTATATTTTTGTATCTTTGTTTCTAAACAAAGTTTCTCACAAAAAGCCGGTAGTAATAGCAAAAGAAAAACCTCAAGCCCTCCCAAAACTAAAACCCCATAAACCAGAAAGGGGAGGGAGGGGGGAGGTGGTCAGTAACTTAAGTGTGATATCTGCAAAGCATGCCAAGTCACAGAAAAGGGTTTACCGTTCAAATGGCCAAGTTAAACAAGATACCAGCAAGCTGCTCTCCCCCCCACCCTTGCTTTCTCATCTCAGGGGGTCTCCAGCATGGTTTTACTTACGGAATGGCGTTGCCCTTAAGGTGCTAGGAGTTTAAGGAGTCATACCAATTGCCCTTCTTCAATACTCTTCATTTGCACAGCGGCTCTTTTGGGGCTTATACATGGGTATCATATCTCTGACTTATCTTTCCCCACCTGCTTTTCTCCCGCTATCCTCCCTCCCCCACCAAATGCATTAGGTGATTTTGATCAGGTCAATGATACCTAATAGATTCCCCCCCCCCAGAAACTAGAAAAGGAAATGGGATAAATTAATCAGTAGAATGAAATATAGGTCAGGACTGATGAGTTTGATGCAACTGATCCTTCCTCTACCTAAAAGAACCCGGCAGTTGAACTTTAATTCCTCCTTCCTGAAGTAAAATAAGATATTCAAATTACAGTTTTTCAGAAAGTTAAATAATTTACTCTGCTTTTGAGACTTTTTTTGCCACAACCCTGTAGTATATTTGTAAGAGGCAGTGCTTTTCACAGAAAACAATTTCAATCTTACTTTTTCCTTGGAAATATGTTTTTATTATTTTTAAATTATGAGAGGCTTATCTAATGTCAGCCACGCCATTTTTCTTTCCTAAGTCCAAATCTGAGATGCAATCACCAGCAAGAGTTGGGGGACAGTCAGACCAAAGTTGGCAAGAAACCAAAACGGGGGTGGAGGGGGAAAGAGAGAGAAAAAGAAATAGAAAAGGAATGCAAACAGAAAACAGGGTAATTCAAAAAAGTGTATTTTCAAGAAATATAAGAAATTTAGTCATTAGCAAGTTCTTAACACCCACCATTTCAGATGAACGTTAGTTTCATGCATTCAATATAAAAAACTCAATTGTCATTTTGTTTTAATGTATTTACCTGCCTTGTATGAGTATTCCCCTAAGAGATAAGTTTCAAATTAAGTTATCAAAAGTGACAGACATATCAAAAATATCTCTGATATCTTCCCCCCAGAAAGGGTTGCTAAGTACATGACAAATTGGAAATGTAATGTGTAACTCCATATTTTATTTAGATGTAAAACAGCACTCATGAGTTTAAATAACTCATTTACATACATTCAAAGAACAGTTTTTCAGAGAAGCTATTTAAAATACTGTTTATTTTTAAACTGTAGAACTATATTTCGTACTGACTAAATCAGTAATACTTAAGAAACAAGGAATTTAAATAAACACTGCACTGGAGGTACAGCTGAAATTCTCCTTGCAATGCTACTTACAGCTTTTGTTTGTTCACTAAAAATGAAGATGCAATAATCGATGGGCAGACTCTTATCAATGAATTTAAATGCTACGTCTATGCAAGCATCTTTCAACTTCTCAGATGAATCGCACTATTAGCCCTTTCAGAAATCTTACAATCAGGTTGCTTTCAGAATACTATTAATCCACTCAAAAATGGACATGATTCAAGAAAAATAAAACAGAGAAAATGAGAAAGATATTTGAACAAAGGCCACCAAGAATGATAACCTACTCCCCAAAGGTAATTACTGCAGCAATAATTACAGATGATGATTGATTTACTGCCTGGTTTTAGTTGAAAAATAGTAAATGAGACACTGTAAAGAAATCTCTGTCATCTCTACCCTGAACATTAAGCGGTTTTCTTAAGTCAGTAGTTTATTGTCAGCAAATCCAAGCTACTCCATCTGAATCGTACAATGTTGCTGTTTTCTCATTTTAGGGACTCCCAGGCTACTGGTACGTAAGGAAGGCAAAGCCCATACCTCCACATAAAATGGAAGCTCTATCTTTTGTTTTAAATTAAGGGTGATGTTTACAGGAAGATATTTGAAACAAACCTCCTCTCTGTAACACATCTAACAAATAACCACGAGTAAAACACGTCCAGTGTCTAACAGGAGAACAATTTCCCCTCTTTGCCAATTGATTCTGAACGTTTACTCCTTTGCACTTAAATACTTGGAGGTCTGAGACTACCCTTCAGTTAAACTTTCCCAGCATCTTTTTTGCAAATATGGCTAATTGGTCACTCTCCTACTGGCTCTAAAACTCTTATGCGCACGTAAATAAATGCTCCCTGGGAAGCTCGGAATATAAGTGCGTGCCCAAGCAACAGAACTTTCATTGTGGTATCTTTTTTAAAAGGTAAGAAAAAAAAAGAGCGGCTCGTTTGTTCTTCACAAGATGCCAAACAAAAGCACTACTGAACCGCACAAACTTCGGTAAACTAGATACAGACGGCAGCAGCAGGTAAAGCAGTAAATTCAAGGCACCCTTTATTCCTTTTTAAAATACCTGGAGAGTTTAAAAAAAAAAAAAAAAGGAAAAGAAAAAAAGAATTAAAGCCTGCTCTAAAGCTCGCTGAAGTCAACAGGAAGACTTTGAAAAGGGAACTCCTGGAAAGAGTTGTTTCCAGCGAAGGGAGCGTAGTTTTTTGCCAGGTCCTCCTGTACAAGTCCATAAAAGCAGACCCCGCTCCTGCTTTCTAACTATGAAATTGCGCTGGTTTCTAGGCACTTAACTCCCGGTTGCACGCCAGCCTC